CATGCCTAGTGCGCTATGCTCCAATTCTTTTTGTGGACCGGTGAGGTCTCCTTGGTGCAATTTAAACAAGATTACAAAGAGAGTTTGTGTTGCCACACAAACACAGAGGCGGCCCCGTGGGAGACGGATCACTGTCGGATCCGCATATTCGCTGGTCGACTGAGGATGGCATCGAGCAGGGTATGAAACCGAGACCGTAGAGATAATCAGTTCTGCGCGCTAACCGCACGACCGGGCATTGCTCTTAATCTAATGACAAACTGGTTACAAACTAATAGCCTACTATTGATAATATACCTACACATTACGGAATGACAACTACAGGATATGCACAATATGTCAGAATAGCGATTTTAGATAGTCTTTTGGTATTGAGCATTTTCATTTAGGCCTAAATGGAACTAGAATGAGGATGTAGATCTACCTAAATTAAACTACTAATTTAGCACTCTCAATATCTATATCTACTAGATCTATATCTAAAATATATATTTGGAATAATGTAGATGTAATTTAGATAAGATTTATATATATAAAAAAAAACCTAGATAATCAATTAATAGACTAATTGCAATATGAAATATTAAAATAGATTAGTTTTAGTATTTTAAAACATTGCAATATTGACATATTAACAATCTAGACTTTAGAAAAAAAATCTACACTTTAAGCCTAGAAATTAAAATTATAGATCTTGATCTAGTCTAAATCATGGCTGTCTGGTAGTGCGGTTTGCGCGCTGGACTGTCGTTTGGATTCATCGATGGTCCTAGGTTCAAACCCTGCCGCTCCCTTCCCCCGTCGTCCTACGGGAGGTTAGGACTACAACTCTGAAGGAACATCCGAAACATGTAAAACAACAAACATTCTAAACTAGACCAATAAATTCTAGATCTAGATTCTATAATGATTTTAATTAGAACTTAAATCTAAATCTAGTTTTAAACATCTAGCTCGTGTAAGAAAAAAAATCTAGATCTAGTGTACAAAATCTAGCACTAATGTAAAAAAAAACTAGATCTAGTGTAAAAAATCTAGATTAGATCTAAATCTAACTATTATGTCTTTTTAAAATGCGAGTCACATATTGTAGATATAGCATATAGCATATTGTAACATTGCCTCCCTTACATTTACTTAATTGTTTTAGAATTGGTGTATTTTTTATGAAAAAAACGCTTGCATAATTAATTTTATAAATTAAACGGTTTGCTTTTAGAAAACCAAAAGTAGCCGTTTCACCTAAACCTTTCAAGCCGGATTTAATGATGAAATAATATTTTTCATATCTCTTCTAGTTTTCGAGATCTGAGTGTGACAGACGGACATTTTGCACAAACCTAATAGCGCTTTTTCCCCTACGGGAGCCGCTAAAAATTAAAAAAGAAATTTGCTCCAGTCTGAATTCGAAATAGTCTCTACGATGGAAGGTCGATGTGTTGCCACTGAGGTATTAACGTACTTTTATAGTCTATTGTAAGTTTTAAAATTCCATCGAACAACCTAATTCTGTTATCTCCTTTTAGCTTAATATATTTTCTATTTTAAACAAGGTTACTAAGACAGTTTGTGTGGAATGTTATGACAAGATTAGGAATTAGTTATTTGTTTTGGGAATAGGGTAAAGTTTTACTTAGCGACGATGACGTAAAGTTGGTTAAAAAAGAAGAACGCTCTAAGTGACGGTACAAAGAAGACGCTTCGTGGAGAGCAGTACAATAGATATACGGATTTACGGACATAGCTGACATCGGACGATTCCCTTCTTGATTATTAAATATATTTGTAGAACAACATCAGCGTCGACTACATATTTTGATTGTTTCGGCCTTTCGCCGGTGTTACTGAAGTAGTTCGAGTTCAGTGTTACTTCTAGTCAGACGTAGATCTACACTAGTTATATTTCAAAGAATCAACACCGCGCGGAAGCCTTAACAGGAAACACAAACTCAAATTCGGCCCCCGTAGGGATCCATCCAGGCAGGTAAAAAGGCCGGTATCAATATTTTTGGAAAGAACATCAGAATTAATTCGATCAAAGACAAATGACAGAGAAGAATGGAGAAACAAGGTTGACATATCTTGTGTGGTGCCCCAGTGGTCCAGCAAACCGAATGATAGGTGAAAGTGAATGTGAAGTTAAATGTGAACCTGGCCTATCTGATGTCTTATACTGAATATCTAATTGATCTAATTGCTTTTAGTTTTAGTTAAGTCTTTTAGTTAAGTTTCTATAACCACAATGCAGTCCATGCGCACGCGATAATATGAAAAATTACTTATTAATTGTTGCTTTAAATTATGCCCAACTTATATGCATACTAAAAAGATTTTTTCTCTTCAAAAAAAGTAAATATTATTTTATTGTTTTGAAAAGTGTATTGCTTCTTTTTCTTTTTTTTTATAAATTATAAATATTATGATTTGAATTATAATTTTTTTTTTTGTGCTCACTGGTTTGTAAAAGTATTTTTACAAACACTTTAGAAATAAAGGTTCTTGCTCAGATTTCAATGCTAAATAATTCATTTTGACTTGAACATAAAGCATGTATCCGTTCTATAGATGTGAAACATAGTCTACATTACATTTGATTTATGATGGTTTGAATTTAAACCTCTGCTGAGAAAGACCTCAAGAGTAAACCCTGAAGAAAAATCTGTAGCCGGTGAAACCTTATGCAGCTTGCTGCACACAGTGCTACACTTTGTCAGAACCTGCGAAGCTGCTTATCCCAGTATCGGCACCTGAAATTTGGATGCATTAACTGTCTGGAGAGGGGGTGGGGAACTGCTTTCTGGGCGACCTACTTCCGACCATAGCTAATGCCCAGGTGTTCATCTCTTTTTTTTCTATGAGATGATCCATAATCGCCTTAAAGCACTTCTGCAACTTTTATTGAATTGTTCATACAGCCAGAAAACGCATTGTTAATTATTTTTTTTTAGTAGCTGCAGCTTAGAGATTTTGTCATCAGGTATATAGGCCTAAAGCTGGCGAAATGGAGGTAGAGTATGAATGTCACAGCCATGTTTTTGACTCAATTATCAGACATGGTTGGATCTAGCTTAACGACAATGCACAGCTGCAGAGACCATTGCAGAACTGGGGTATCCTGTGAATGTCTACGTGATCGTTTTTTAGATGCATACAAAAAATGTTCACTCAGGGCTCAAAGTCCTCGGGGGGGCTAATTCAGCTTATACCACAACATCTGTCAAGTACGGTTTCTTTCCTTTGTTCAAGAAACAAAACAAAATAATTCATTACCAATAGTTAATTAACTAATTGGTTAATTTTTCAAATTGATTCTTGTGTTGTCAGGTAAAAGAAATAATTGTGAAAAATGTCAGCTTAATCCGAGATTGGGTGTGAGCGAAATAACGTGTACCAACTTTGTATCATTCAGACAGACAGAGTGAGTTGATATAAACTTTGTACAAATCATGCTCTTTATCAGGTCTTATGTGTAAAAGCTTTCCTTACAATATTTTTTTATGCGCACAACCATATAGGGGAGTGCCCCCTGACGGCTCTCTGGATAGCTGCCTTTACTGTTGGGTAAGGTGCCCTAGCCTTTGTGAATCCCTCCACTTCCTGCAAGGCAACAGGTTTAACTTTGGTCCATCCCGGGTATTTTACTTCCCCAGTAGGCTTACCCACCATATCTGGAGGGCATTCCCCTATACGCTACCTGGGGAGGCGCTCCTGGGAGATAAGCAACTCCACAGGAGATCTACGTCTGTCCCCCTTTAAAATGTTTTAAAAAATGGTCTTCCAATTCAGTGGTGACTTTTGACGACAGAATTCGAAATAAAAAAATTAGACTAATAAATGTTCACTTGATCTCAGTTAAGGTTTTGCAGACTAAAGGTACTTCAAATGTTGACATCCATATTATTAGGCCTATATTGTTTGAATCATGGCTTTTTTTTTTTTGTGACGGTGTGCACCGATACGACGTACCGGCAGCTTTTTCAATGTGGGGAAAAAATATTACTTTTTCTTGTTTTTTAATGTTTACTATTAATAAATTAGTATTTAAAAGTTAGGCAACAATCATCACTGAGTACCAGCACCTATTTTTTTAAATTTTTTTTTTTTTTACAAAAATAAGCTCTGGTTTTAATGCTTTAAAAATATTGACTATTGGATGAAATTGTCTCTTAAACAGATGTTGTTGTTTTTTAAATTAAAAGAGAATTATTTCTTATGGCTTAGTCTGGATGCTTTTAAAAAAAAAAAGCTTATATAGGTTTATCTCTATTTCTGTTTTCACTATTGCAGAAATGAAATTCAAAACTTACACTATGAAATGTGCGTTGCAAGTTTTTACAATGTGAAGAAATGATGTGGGTCCCCCCCCCCCCCCCCCCATTCCATTGTTTTCAATAAAAAAAAAATAAAAGGAAGTTTGTGTTACTCGTGCCATGTAGGTCAGTGGTACTCACACGTAGTTTTTATATTTATACACGCTAACGTAGAGGCGTTACGTAATTAAACAAACTTCCTTTTTTTTCAACTGCCTGTCCAAAGGCTGAATGTAAACTATAAACATAATATGCAGACTTCATTTTTAAAAGGTGCATGATTTCGGAAGCCGTAACAAAAGTTGACATTTAAAATGCTGTCGGATAGTCTCACCACCAAACAGTAATCTAACCAAATACGGTTTTCAAATCGTATTTTAAAAATGGTTTGAAAAAAAAAAGTTTTTATAATTGTACAGTAGAAGAAACAGGTTTAATTTCAGAAGGCACACAAGTAGTCGTTGCACTTGCTTTGAGGGTTGATAACAGCAAACTTAAATCATCAGAACAGTAACCTTTCTTAGACCACATTCATTCTTATTGGATCTGAAGTGTCTAAAACCGTCATTATCATATCTGCATATAATTTAAACAAAGATTATTAAGTATCTATTTTTATATTATAGAATATCTGGATAGAACTGTGGCCATTGTGGACTCAAAGAAGAAAAAGAAAAATCAAAGGACAATGTTTTGCTATATATGATAATGTTTATTTTTTTTTATAATTTTAAAGACAACAATTAACATAATAACCTGTGAAATCAATTCAGAGTCAAGAATTTTATACAACATTAATATCTACTTCCATGTTGCTATTTTTGAACATCAGCCAATCATACAAAGAAAACTGACCTTATTGTTTCATGTATAAGAGAAGGGAGGCTCCACTGAGATTGTACATTTATTTCTAAAGATCGTATAAAAATTTAATGATTATCATTTTTAGTGACAATCTGATTGCTTAAGCTCCATTAGTGTATACGACTGTTGGGAAATAAATACAATGGTCTAAGATGCCAACTAAAAGTGTTAGTCTACTTGGTAGACATATAGTCTATGTTTTAGTGTCAGCTTGTGTCCATGAAAAATATACAGGCCCCTATAATCTGTAATTCTAGATTCCCCAATTTCAGAGCAGTCCATGTTTCCCAAAAATCAAGTGTAACTATAGTTGAATATGGCGTAATACATTACTCACGCTTATAGGATCTAACGAAGTACTGGTATAGCCAGTTCAATTAATTATATTCAAAATGTTCTAGAAAATCTAGTTAAAAAATATGATTAAAAAAGCTACCACCAGTTTCCAAACAATAAAAAAAAAATTCCTTAGTTATATATTGGAAATAATGATTATTTTTGTTACATAGAAAAAAACAATTCTCACAAAGCTTAGATAACTGCAAAATGTCAATGCCACCCAGATAGACATTGTTAGCAACTAAAACTATTTGGTGTATTCCATTTTTTTAGATAAATATTACAATTAATTTAATCATTCAGTTCACATTTCAAGTGAAGTTTTAAAAAGATTTCCTAAATGGGAGAAGTCTAAGAGAAAAAGGTTACTTTCTGTTGACAACTGGACCACTAAAAGTTCATGGTGCAATGGGAAGCTACTACATATTAACAGGAAAAGATAATTTCCTCAATTCCGTCAGTAAATTTGTATTGAAATTTTGGGGGGGGGGGGGGGGGGGGGTAAAAATAGTTTCAGTTTAAAATTGCATGTGCCAAGACAAAAAGATTTATTCTATTTTTGAGGAAAACTGTTACAAATATACATTTTATCGAGCAAAAGGAATTTCATTCGTTAACACCAGGTGATACAAATCAGGAAAGTCTAATGAGTTAATTACAGTTCAAGTGATCTACTAATAGTGACCTTTCAATATATCACTGTACAATGACTCAAATCACAGATTGAAGGCAGAAACAGTGGTTCATTGAATCAAACAAATACTCACAAACAATACTAGTATGCTCTTTTATAGAACTTAACATCAGGTTTTTTTTCTCCAATAAACACAATTTTTTTACAAAAGAGCTGGCTTTTTATCTGAATTCCAGACGTAAAAAAAAAAATTCTAAGAAATAAGTTTTAATACATAGCAGACGATTAGCGAACACACACTTGTGTATTATTAGCTAACACTTGTGTATTATTAGCTAACACATCTGTATGTTTTATTAGCTAACAAACCTGTATGCTTTATTAGCTAACAGCTGATGTATTATTAGCTAAAACATGTTATATAAACTAAATGAAATGAGAAATACTATTATGTTAATACAGATAAAAATGTTCAGTGTCACATAGCAAATACAATGCAGACAAAAGGCACACATGTACAAGATGAATTCTTATATGAAGTCTGTCCTTAAAAATAGACACTCTCCAGATTTAAAATAAAAAAAATTATTAATTAAAAAGCATTTTCATTTGTTACAAAAGATTTACAAATAGTCATAAGCATCAATTTTCAATTATTTTATTTTTTTTGAAAAATGTTTGTTTCCTTAGATTTCATTAATAGTAATTAGTATCACAAAGCACACAAATATGGAATCAGTAAAAATGATCTTTTTCAAATTACAATAGAAAGTGGGAAATAGTCCATTAAAAATATATTGCTTTAGATATTTATGATATTCAAGGTTATCTAAATATGTTTTTTTTTTGTTTAATATAAGTAAAGCAGAGATTTGAGTATTTAGCTCAAAGCCCGTTTGTTTCAATGTGATCATTATACATGAAGACAAGACAAAAGAAAGCAAGCAATGTTAGATAATGGATTGTTTCAATCTTGAATAAAAAAAATAAAAAAATACACACACTATACACACTTAGGAAACTACACGTCTGAAAATAGTGAAAACAACAAATTTGAACAAGGTTCTATAATTAAAGAAAATCTGCCTCTCCAATATCTTCCCCAGCTACTTCTTGAACATCTGGAATAACCCAAGATATTTTTCTGCCTGCTTCATAAAGATCCTTGATGGCAGCAAGCACCTGAAGAAAATAGTCACAGAATACTAAAGTTTACAGCAATACAACTTAAAGAGAAGTTGACTCTTTTCAAAACTATAATAGTTTGTTAACAAAACAATCATTTGTACACACAATATATTTTTCTGCTCTCTTACCTTATCTTGACCCTCATCTTTCAAACGCTGATATTCCTTGTACAGCTGTAAGGCTGTCCGTGCATCTTCCACAGAATCATGGGTGTAAGACTGAATGTTAATCTCTGCATGACAGTAAAAATATTGAATTAAAATAATTTATATTACTGTGGAGATATAGAAAAAGCATATAGCTAACAACTTAACCTTTAGAGAACTAAATGACACTTACTCAAGTAGTACCAGGCCAGAAATTTCAAGGAAATGTAACGCTGCTTTGGGAGATGGAACAAATCCACAGTATCCATAACTTGTCCTTTAGGAACCTTTTAGAAAAATAAAAATTTTTTACTGGTAGCTAAAACTTCAATAAACGAAAGGCCATGCACAGCTAGCGTAATTGTATCAAAAAGCACCAAGAAGTCTTTGGTTGTGTTTTGTTGTCAAAGAAACTTCATGCATAACTCTATGATGTGTCTGGTGTCTTTTGACAGATACTCTTCAATGTTCAGTGGTGTTCACTCCTGTTAGGTGAGTTCTATTACTAATCTCACTTTGTTGCTTTGTTCATAGGGGGCTAGCTTTCAGGTCTGCAATAGCTGTGAGATTCAGTTAGCTGCATCCCTGCATGGAGCAGAGACAGTGATGGGAGTGGGTGAAGTTGTGGCAGCATGGATGAGATGCAGGCCAGTTTTAAGCATGATACTGCAAGGAGATGAGCTATCTAGTTTTTATATTAATAGTATAGTCATTGTTGTTTACTCATTATTATGCTTTTGTTTGATTGAAAAATCTTTGATTGGGATCACTGGAAACAAAGTAACAAGTTTTCAAATCAATCTTACAGTAAAAACTTATTTCTAAATTAAACATTCTATGTCATTTGTGTTTAACTGTTCAGTTGGACTTGTTTTTATTTATTGATATTCAGTAATGCATGTACCAGTCAGTCAGGAGCCCAGGTTTCCCTGGAGATCATTATTAAATTAAAGTGAGAAACCAACCCTGACACTAATATATAAAATAAGATAGAGATTTATTTAGAAATACTATCGTCCTGAAGTACTTGTTCAAAAAGAGATTGTAAAATTTGCTTTACCAAGATATTGATGACTCTAAAATCTTTCTTCAGTCCATGACCAACAAATATTACGCCACTGTCAATCAGGTAGCGAAGTTTGAGGTAAGTGGCCTTTAAAGTTGTTAGATATTTTGTGGACACACTGGGGTCCAAATCGCCAGGTTTTATTCCAGAATACTGTGTCAGATAGTCAACCACCTTAAAAAATAAAACATCAATTTAATAAGTATTTTTCTGAAGAAACATTAAAAAAATAATTTTTTTTAGATACTTAGTCAAAGTAGATCTACCTGTTCTTGTGTTACAATGTAATCATCAATAAAAGGTTCTCCTTTATTAGGTCCACTCCTATGGAATAATAGGCACAGACATTTAAAGATATAACAGATATTTTAAATAACAAGTTTAAAACAGTTTACCAAATGCATAGAAAAAAACTAGATATACCCTCTAAGACAGGTAATTCTTGCTGCAGACATCTGAGTAGGGACCAGTGTTGATCGAGTTCCATCACTTCTCAATTCAGCTTCTTCCTAAAGTACATTCACAATGGCATTTTGAAATGTAATGAAATATTCAGCATTGACATAAATATTACACAGTAAACACAAGCATGAGGCATTGAAAACTTTTAAATCAAAATAATTACCTCTTTAAGAGAAACAAATTCAGCATCCAGTGCGACAATGTCTCCAGCTTTAGGTAGTTCATCTTGCTGTAGAGGCAGGAATGTTAATTTGTGACGTTCTGGGTTCAGCAGAGCCGAATCATTAAATAAGACATCAGGACTAGACCATGGCTTCACTGAGATTAAAAAGAACAATACCAAGCAAAATACATTTATCTATTAAAAGAAAGCTTCTACCTAACTATCTTAAAAAATATATTTTGGAATAGTTAACATTTTTTAAGGAATGTAAAATGTTTAATTTAATGTTTGAAAAAAAAACAAAACAACTTCTGTTGCCTAGCACAAGAGAGCTAGCTTTGAATTAAAATTATTTTTATATAAAAAAAGATCAATATTAGATAATAAAGTCAAAGCAGAAAAAATTATTCTTATTCAGTTTGAACTTTTCAGGTAAATAATCAGAACTGTTTTTTAAAGACTTGTTTAAAGAATCTTGTGTTCAACATTAGACATTTTATAGAAATTTTTTCTTTTTCAAATGTAATGTTAGAGTTTTTATTTAATGAAATTTTCAGTCTGCTTCCTGTTGGTCACATATTCACATTTAAAAAACTTTGAGCTTTAAGAAAAGTAAGTTCTTTTAATTCACCTAATCTATTAGCTATTTGGCTATTACCAGCAAGATCATGAAGTTGAACATAGTCCCTACGGGTGTAGTGAATAATACATGGCACATTCCAGTCCAATTTGAAATCAACAGCTTCATCCTGTAATAGTTAAGATATTGCATTCAGATTAACGTTGATAAAATTAAATGGTATAGATTTTGCAGGATTGATTTGGCTAAAACAAAATTCCAAGCAATGTGGCAGCCCTGTGCAAGTCAATCATAGTCCAATATAATTTGTTCCTGAATTTCAGACTCATCAGGAGCTGCATAAGTTTTTGTGCTAATGTACTCTTTGTGAGCTTGTTTTATCTAGTGTACAAATAGTTTATATCTAATTACAACAAATAGGCCAATTTTAATTAAAAAAAAAAAAAATGTTTATGTAGGACTATAAAAAGCATTTGAAGGAAGTTACATTCACACTAGCATAGTTTTTAAAACAGTCTATGTGAAGCTATTTGAACTTGTTTTAATAATTTTTTGTATGTGTAACTAAATTTTACAAACAAAATAATTTTGCTTTTAAAAGATCAAATATTACCAAAGCACCTATTTTGGTGTAACACTTTTAGTTTTAAGATCTAAATGTGGCAGCACATAAACAATTAGCAGCTATTCTTTTCATTCGAAGTTAACTATTTTTTATCAAACAAATAAGGAAAATATTGAAGGAGAAATCAATAAATTTATAGAGACACTAAGGCGGAAAATTAAAAAGGAAACTAGAAGTAATACATAAGACAAAATAACCTTATAAATGGATTAGAAACAAAGAATCGAATTTTCATCTTCATAACAATAAGAAAAAATATTAAAATAACATCAATTTCCAAAGGCCTACAAGTAATGTGTACAAGTAATTTGTACAGAATGATGCCCATTGACTACATTTAGCTGTAGAAAAGTAATGTTTCAATTCATTTTAAAAAGAAATTCTTGTCAAGTTTTTAATTTTCTGATTCTATTTTTAAAAAGTCACAATATGGAAGAAAGAAAAAGTCAAGCTCATTAGTAAATAATTTTAAAATACTAATATTATTCTATATTATAAGATTTTTAGTTGTTTTTTTTAAACAAGATTTATGTCCCTTAGCAGCAAATGCTAGTACAACTTATAAAATTAGTACAGACAAAGATCAGTTTTAATAACTATTCATTCTTTTATAATAAAAAAACTGTGATACAAAG